CATCGCCACCCATGCCATTATCTGTCACAAACCTCCTGAATGAACGCAACCGACTGGGGGCCAGTGGAGAGCTGGACAATGCAACTCGGCGGTGTTTCAATCATGCCATGCAGCTCCTGAATGTCCAGTCCAACAGAATACAGGACAATACCACGCTGGTGCTTGACTATGGCATGGTCTCTGAAAAGAGGTTTGTGTCTGGGACTGGAGAAAATGAGATTGTTGTGTACTGTGGTGATGATGGCATGATCTGTCACACCATCAAAGTGGTGGGATGGAGAAGCTGGCTTGCTCAACAGCTTTCCAAGGCCTCACCAGCAATATTAGCTGTGATTCTGAATGCCTTACAGTTATGGGTGCAGCGCTCCCAAGGGGGTTACTTTTTTTTACCTGAGTGATGGAGGAGTTGCCTCTCATTTCCAGTTCCCACACCCAGCTGCTCGTACACAGAGCTATCTCATCCCCTCAATAAACAGTATAAACTAACTCTCAACCTGCTTCCTTTGTTGGGATGAGGTTCTGATATGTCACCTGTGTACTCTTCCCTCATATTTAGTCATCTACATTGTTTGAGTGAAATTAAGCATGCGCATTATACAGAACGGAGAAGGTTCTAGAAGATCATGAACGCCTCACCTTTATGAGGTAATGCCCTAATTTTCATGGGTGAGTATGTGTGGTTGGTGTCTCAGACATGGTGGGAAAGTTTGACGTGCTTGGCAAATAGTGGTTGCGTGACTTCTGAGGTACTTGAGATTTTGGTTGGTAGGCATGAGTATGAGTGTCAACTTTGTATCAGAAGGAATGACTGATGGGTATGTCTGGAAGATGATTGATCATTTCAAATGGGGTGATCTGCCCTTTAAAAAGCCTAACTGACCAGAGTTTGCGGCTCTTCGCCATCAGGGAGTTGTGTGCAGAGAGAGGAGTCTCCGTTGTTGTAGTCTCTGTGAAGGGAGTGGTCCAGCAGAGCGGTCTCTGTGACTGAAGCTTGTTTGTCATGGGCATTCAGCTTTTCATCTTCCCTTGGTCCATCATCATCAGTTATTGTGGTCATCTGTCCCTAGATCCCTAACTAGGCCGGAGTAATTGAAGAACACACTTACCTGAGACAGAGGAGCGCCAAGGAATTGGGTAAAGTATCACCTTCCCATGTGTAAGTGTGGGACAAGCTTGGGTGTTGCTAGTTGTGGGAGAAGTCCTGGGAGCAGTAGGGGTGTCTGTGTGGTTATGTTGGGAGGTGAAAATCTGTTCTTGCACATATTTGCATATAAATGCTATTATCTGTGTATAACCTTGCTAATAGTTGTACTAAATGTTGAACCATTTGTATGCTGTTCTGTGCTGATGTGTTTGATATTTGGTGTGATACCATATAGGTGTGTTATACTTACCATTTGAGTCTTTTGTTTTTCCGCTCTTTTTCCCAAAACCTATATATAAGGTTTGCTGGACACCCCACCTTTGTCATAAATTTGTCAAACTTCAATAGCAACACTTGTAAGTTATCCAGCCACCCTCTTCTTATCTGGCAGAGATGTAGTTATTTGGGTCCCACATTAATTAAAATCTCTCTGTTCTCCATATTTGGTTTAACCAGTCAACCAGTCATCATATTAATTGGCCTCAAACTCTGCCAGCCGGTAAGTGAAAAACTACAGTTTCCCACATTTTTCTCCTTTAAAG